AAGAACAGTTGTATTCGGAGTTGTATTTCGAAACGTCCAAAATAAAGTAATTTTATTAAACACAAATTGGTAAATGCGTGTCCAACCCGGATTCCAACAATTGTAATATCGAAGTAACTTTGAACGAAGTAAGATCCAACAAAATTCGTCTTGAGTGATTCGACGACATCGTTGACGAATTTTGTTTAAATAATTAAACAGCCACTAAAAACGTAGCCGGCCGGATTTTAATTTACCCTAACCTAATCATGTGTGTAATCATCTTGTCGATCAGTCGACAATTGTCAGCACAGCGAATACCTCGGTGGTCGGCAATATCAGAACAGTCATCGCTTCGTCGAAATTTTACGCGGGACACCCTATAGATGCTGAGGTTGCTACCGCTATTGCGTCATCGGCAACTCGACACTTGACGGCAACGCCACTACAGCGAAGTTGGTTGCATTAGTAACATCTGTATACAGTAAAAGTTCTATAAGAGTTCTTTGGAATCTGTACGCGAACGGTTCATGGTCTATCACCACCACAAGGGGGGACCACCCTTGAAACAGGCAAGCGACTAATGTGACACGGCCACGGCATCTCTTTATCACATTCGGCGTCGGCATGTCCGTGAGACAATGCTAACAAAACTACAAAAGTTTGTTATTTGCAATTTTTCGTTAATAAAAATTTCATCAAAATATTGGTGAGATTTTCCTGATTAAAATGATACCAAACACGATATTGTTACAAAAGTTGGTTGTGTCGATTGGGCTTGTGAATCTTCCTTTGCCCGCTACGTTCATTTCACTGTTTACATCACAGAATGTAACACCATTTCTCATAACTGTGCCAAAAGGGAACCGTTATCGAGAACTAGAACTGAACCTATCCGGTTATTCTCGAATGGGACACTCTTCTACACGATAACTGTTCGTAAGCGGCATTGCCTTTGATCAATTATTGGATAGGAAGAAACGAAATTTGACCTCTGACGAGTTTAAACGGCACATAAGAATACACATAGGAGTTGTTATGCTAACGTTTACACTACTCAGGACTCTTTACATGTAGTTCGCAAGCAGTTAAAAATATGTTAAAAATTTTACTCATAAAAGGTTCGTATGTGTTGAAGGTTCTGGGGTATCAGACCCTTCGCGAACAATATTCTTATTTTTAAAGCAATGCAACGTCGGGTTGCATGTTTTATAAATCCTTATATGTAATCTTTTTTAGGTGTCTTATATTTAATAGATATAGTAAAGACATAATAAAGTGTGGATGTATGTAAATATGTATTAATTACTTTAATCAGAAAAATATCATGGATATGTTAGTAAAATTTTTATCAGCAAAACACAAAAAATAAAATAGTTTTTCTTTTGTATTAGTGTTGTCTCACCGATATGTAGGTGTTTGATACTTTAGGACTGGCTCGACTTTCAATACCTCTCTCTTCTTTGGCTGCTGTCTCTTTCTGCGTTCGTCGGTGTCGATAAAATACAAAGAGTTTGAGAAACCTACCACCTTTTTCGTAGCTGTTACACAGCGGTCCCGACTTTGGAACTCTTACCGAACCTTTACTGCAGATAGTATTCAATGGTTAGTCACGTCTGTATACGCAGTTTCAAGTACTGAAAGTTTTTGTTAATATTTCCACCTTTTTCGTAGCTGTTACACAGCGGTCCCGACTTTGGAACTCTTACCGAACCTTTACTGTAGATAGTATTCAATGGTTAGTCACGTCTGTATACGCAGTTTCAAGTACTGAAAGTTTTTGTTAATATTTTGGAAACTAATAATTGACTGAAGTTAATATTTTATACATATGTGGGGTTCACTCACCCTCCTCCCGTTTGCCGTCAAATTTCCTATCGACCGGTGACCGGGGCCTTGCAGAACTACGTCCTGAGAAAAGGTGGACCTATGGAGACATAACCCAATTAGACCCGCATTCCTTTCGCTTGTCATCTTTCCGGCAACGCACGGTACATACATTGTCGTCTGCGGTTAAATCACTTTGACGCCCGCACATTTCGCTCAAAAACTCGACGCTGCCACCGGCGACTCTCGCCTAGATCGTACCGCTGCGCCGGCACTTTTCGCTGTCTTTTAGAGTGTAATTACGATACATTTTTTGAGAAAAATACATTAAATACAAATCATTTATGTAATGTTTTACAGCAAAAAAAAAAAGAAAATGAAGAAATGTCACCGTGACTCGCCTAGATCGTAACGCTGCGCCGGCACTTTTCGCTGTCTTTTAGAGTGTAATTACGACACATTTTTTGAGAAAAATACATTGAATACAAATCATTTATGTAATGTTTTACAGCAAAAAAAAAAAGAAAATGAAGAAATGTCACCGTGATGCCGGACAGTGGGCTGATCGAAGATTTGAGTGACATTTTGTCAAAAAATGAACTTTCTTATATCGATATTGGTATTGTTTTCTAAATGTCCATTGACCTCTAAAATAGAAGAATTTATAAAATTGAATACAAATTGTAGTTGTATCGAACAATTAAAGTTGAACGTTTTTAAGTTTGCATTTGACACCCGAAAAATGTGCTTTCTTTTTTGCGATGTCCTGACGATCCTGTTTAATATTTTTTTTCCGTCTTTGTTTCTATAATACAAAGCATTATTTTCTAGCATCTAAAATCATTGTTCTTAATGTACACCCGAAAAATGTGCTTTCTTTTTTGCGATGTCCTGACGATCCTGTTTAATATTTTCTTTCCGTCTTTGTTTCTATAATACAAAGCATTATTTTCTAGCATCTAAAATCATTGTTCTTAATGCATTAAAAATTTAATGTTTAACGAAACACAGAAAATTTCAAAAATCTTTACAATTGACAAGGAATATCTTTTGAGTCCCAAATAATCCCACATTCGGACAAATTTGAATGTTTTCAGGACACTTGCTTCTACATAATGATGTAAAAATCATTTCCTACTTCTTCCTACTATGTAAATGATTACTGTTTGAAGTATCGGCATTATGTCATTTTACGTACAGTTACCCGAATTAAGACCCGGACACCCTTTAGAACTTCTTTAATATTCGATCAAACGACTTGAGCTTTTTTGAGATGTTAGGATTTGTTTACTAGATGAGGTATACCAAAATTTTGAAAAAGTTGTAATTTGTGTTGATGCAATCGGTTGATGAAGTTGTAAAAACGACCTTCGCTATTTTCTTCGCGATTCCGACTAATTGCAGTTTTTTCAAAAATTTATACAAACGTCGGAATGACGGCAAAAAACCATTTCTCTAAGCCTTATAAAAATAGCGGTGCAAAGTCAAATTTTTTTGACAGCGATCGAGAACCGAGAAGTCACGCGTACGCGTCGTTCACGATAGCGCGGGGGTGAATCTTTGTTCGCCCGTCCCTGAGCGCGGGCTCTACGGGCGCTGTGATTGGCCAGTGTTTTTCGTTAATAACTCGAAAACGAAGCTTCAAACAACATTTTGGACAAGGAAAAAGTTGTTCAGAGTCACCCCAGCAACCCCCCATTTCCGGATGTTCGAAGAGTTATGGAACACCCTGTATACATATGTATAAAACTGTAGATTTTGACACAATTTATAATAATATCATTTGCCATTTCTGTATCCTCTGAAAACTAAATGGTTTCTGAACTTGCAATTTAAATTACATAAAAAAACATAAACTTTAAAGTATGATATAAACACTTTGGCTTCGATTTTGGACGATTTTGGACAAAAATGAGGCATTGCGTGAAAACTCAAAACATTTAAGAAGTTCCATTTAGTCTTAAAAGATAGAGAAAAAACATAAACTTTAAAGTATGATATAAACACTTTGGCTTCGATTTTGGATGATTTTGGACAAAAATGAGGCATTGCGTGAAAACTCAAAACACTAAGAAGTTCCATTTAGTCTTAAAAGATAGAAGAGAGTGTCCTGAATATATTGGTATTGTCGAAAATCGTGTGTTTTACAAAAATCCATATTTTTCAAAAACTAAGGGTGATAGAGCAATTCTGCTTCCGGATTCGTGTTTGGGACGAGAAACTCTACAAGAATCACCCAATGGATATTGCAGATTTTTCTGAAGGTTAAAATTTGTTGGACAGCGTAACTTGATCACACACTATATACGTGACAGCGGACGTCAAAGTGTTAAGATACTCTAGAACAGACCCGCTCACGAAGTTGCTCTTTGTAAAGTGGTCAAACAAATAGGATATTGGAGCAGTAGACTATCTCTACTTCAGCAACGATACTGTGGTGGGGCATTGTATGAATGCAGTAGTGATTGCCCGTTCTAAATAGTGAGAACTATGCTTCGAAGATAGGCATATTTTGAAAAAAGTAACCGATCATATGAAACGCCTCACGAACGTACCAACACATTTCTACCTATGAGCTTACATTCCCTATCATTGTTCTCCACTACTTTTACGTCTGTCGATGTCATTTCTTTCGGCTGCTGCTCTCGATTTTGCTCGGGGCAAAAAGAAGCGCTCTTGCTCTCAAAAGGGCTGCCTGAGCGGCCCTGCTCAAGAAGGTCAATAGATGTGGAATTTCGAGTGAATGTTCGTAACGAGTGCAGTTCAATTTTAATATGTGGTTGAGATATGTTTGGAACGATATCGAGAGTATTGCAAGTTGCAATTGAAATAGTCATTAACGATTAGAGAAATTTGCGAGTAAAATTCCAGTGAGCGTTAGAAATGTTAAGTTGAAGAGAGCGGCAGTTAAAATGTTAAATTATTATTAATTGCGAACGATTTAATTTCATCAAAAGATATTTTTGCATTTAAATTTGTATTTGTTATAAATGTAAGTTATAAAAGAAAGTATTGAATAATTCTTACAGTATAGATGACTGAAAATTTTTACTACAAAACCACTGTTGAGTTTTCTTTCAAAAAATTTTACAGTACTTTTCAAATAGCCCAATAATATTATTCTACAAAGGAAAACTTGTGTGTAACTTCATTTCACGTTCTGTAATAGTTTAATACGTAGAGTGTAATCGTACCGAAATTCAAAAGATGCATCAGTGTATGTACTGCGCAGAGAACACCGATTAGAACTCCAGTTATTTTGTGAAGGTAAATGTGTTGATCCAGTGGTAACACAGAATTAAAGCCGTGGGTTCGCAGGAAAGTAATGCACTGGCGTAACATAAGAACCAGGATGAAGCTGCAGTTGAAATTTAAACACTGACCTGTATTAAATTGTTTATTGTAATTATAATGGAACTTAATTGCTACTCAGATACCTTAATTTATTTCATTCTTTTCATATTATGCCACACTACCTCTTCATTACGTATACATAGTAATTTTGATGCACCATTATGCTATTTAATATAAAAAAAAAATCCAAATACTTGTATATGTAATGTATGAGTAAATATATGTAGAGATATTTAACGGTTGTGGAAGGTACTTAACTAAATTTTTTCTATTGCACAAGGTGAATTAATAAGAAAATGATTATGAAAACATACGTAAAAATTACAGAGTAGAGTTTTCGATATAATTTTACCATTGTCTAGTTGTATTTGTTGTCCACAAAGTTTATAGGCATTAATAGCGATATTATTGGAGTAATAGAAAAAAGTACTTCCACAGTTTTTTGTACGATGTTGCAAATATCGTTACGATATGTCATGGGTTTCTCGTATATTTTGCGTATTTTTGTTTTTCTAACATTTGAAATGAATTGAAAATAATTTTGAACATGACTATCAGCACTAATACGAATAAAATTAATTAATATTAGAGTGATGTATGATAATATCAGTGGTATGCGTATACAAGATTTCAAAATTAATTTTCTCGAAAACGAAGCCTCATATATAAAAATTTTATTCTGTAATTTCGACTTATTGGTTCATAAGGAATCATTGTCTGTCTGGTTGTACCACGATTATTAGGACACCCTGTAGATCATTAATATATACTTAAATAATCTCTCTAGGGTATTTAACTTTAACTAGATTACAAAAAATCAACAACAAAGGAACTATGTATAGAATCTACATCTTAGTAAAAAAATCTATACAGTAATCCCCCGTACAACACGGTATGTAGTTAGATTCCTGAAAAATGCCGTGTCATACGAAACAAAGAAGTAGTACAAAAAAGGGGGTTAGGTTCGAAATATTAAAAAAACATACTATTATATCTTTATAATTATGAGAAATATCTTTGTTAAAGCAAATTTCACCAAAAGTATAACATATTAATATGTATTGTAGCGCACTGCGTAAGGGAGGTAATGCCCCGGGCGGCCACCAGACTGGCGCCCCTCTCACCTTGCCTTGTTCGCACCCCCACTACCAATTCCACCCTGGGGCGCATGCGCGGTTGACTCCCCTACTCCACCACTCGTGCTGGCCCGGGCACCCCCCGCAAGGATAAAAAGAGGACGGGCCCAGTTTTATGGACAACACGGTTCGCTGCTCCTAAGACGCTCCCTCGAGTGGACATCCAAGGACAGCAAACCTGGCCTAGGCTCCGATCTTGATCCCTTGAGTGGACATCTACAGACCACGAGGCAACCCTTGTCCATACGCTTGCCGTTCCCTAACGCCGTGTCAAGTCGATTCCGCGTGTAAATCTCCGTAAAGTGTACTGTGTGTAAGGACTTATTAAACATACCACTCTGTGTAAGCTAGTGAGAATTATTTCAGTCAGCCCACCACCCTCGTGACGAATCAGGTTAGAGTATTAAATAAAAATAATATGTACTTTTTTACTTCCGCTAGACATAGTTCAGGGCTGCGAATTAATTCAAAAAAATGGAAAACATAATTACCATTTCTTTAAAAAAGGTTGAATACTACTAATTTCAAATGAAATATCTTTGGATTTTAAAAGCTCTTATTATGTTCCACATTGCTCGGGTTTTCCCCAATTCTCAAACCGTGTTAAAGTGAAACCGTGTTCTAGGATGCCGTGTTGCACGAGGGTTTTCCCCAATTCTCAAACCGTGTTAACCCTTTAACCTACAACAACGTGTCAGACTAAAAATAGTTATATTAGTAAGAAAAATTAATTGTAGTCCTAACTTTCGTTTTAACTTGCAAGATTAAGAATTCCTAAATGCAATTAATCTGTAACAGATTAGCTTTTGTTACCTGATACAGTACTAAAACATTAAATGGCTGACGCTTACATGCGTAGTCAGAAAAGTAATCATAGGTTAAGGGGTTAAAGCGAAACCGTGTTATAGAAGTGCCGTGTTACACGGGGGATTACTGTATACGCAAACAGAAAAGGGGAATAAAAACGGAAGAAACAAGTTCATTTACAGGATCGAATTTGTATTATAACTTTGCAAAGCAAGAAGATGAACCTGTGATTCTCTCAGTGCGAAATAATTGGCAAAACATGTTGAAGAAATTTGTCGACTTCCTTATGAATTATATTCATATATTTAACTATAATAAATCATTTCTTACCACAGGCGCGGGCAAGCATGACGTAGCCATTGGATGCCCTATATTCGTACAATCTTGACAGGAATATAGCCACATTGGTTGAGATGAAAATCAAGATGAAAACAATGTAAACGTAATTGTTCTTCATGTAGGGCTTCGTCAGTTGATAAGGACGTAACGAGGCGAGAAATCCTAACCGCGATTTACGCTTCGTTTCTGGTTTTGGTGGCACTAGCCATCGGTCGATACTGCGATTCAATTTCCATTTTTAATAAGTTTCAATTAAATTGCTAAAAATATTCTCTGTAAATTACAATCAATAATAATTTTCTTCTTAAATTTTAACTTATAATGATATTCTTTACAGGAACCCATAATTCACCTGTAAAAAGAAAACAGTTGGTTGCTGCAAACCTACATATGCAGCTGTCACGCGTATTCCTCAAGTTCTAATTAAGTACGTAGCGACAATAAACCCATAAGACCGTCCGAAATAGTAGCAACCCTCTATTAGAACTGAGCTTAAAACGATTTCTAAAACACTTGTTCTGTTTTCCAAGACATGATCAAATCTACCGGCTTCATGACTCTATTACTGTAGGATTGGAAGTTTCTTCTGAATGTTTGTAACGAGTCAGGGTATGCTAGAGTTTTAAGCGTGATGGAGGAATATTTAGGCTAGAGCAGGCGTGTCCAATCTGCGGCCCGCGGGCCGCAATGTGGCCCTGAACAGCACAATATCGTAAACTTTGAACATTATTGTGTGATTTTTAGCGACATTTTTCACGACTCAATTGCATTATAATAAAAAATATTAAAAAAATAAAGGAGGTTTTGTTACTTATGTACGATTAACTGTATTATATATTTCGTATGGCCCAGGCAAATCGAAAGGTTGGACACCCATGGGCTAGAGCAATAGACGTGTGAATGAAGTGTACACAGGGTGAGTTTTTTAACAGTGCCACCTAAATTTACTCGTAAACTATTTGTTGTATCAAAAAGATTTTCAAACGAATGTTGTTTGGTATCAAGTGGGGCATACAATGTAACATTTAGTTTTTCGATAGTCCGCTGTTTTATCGAGATATGAAGGTCACCTAGAATTTTTGTATCATGATGTGTAAAATTTTACCTTGTTGTTCGAAAGAGTACCAAATGATGAGTAAAAAACTATAAGGTATATGGGATCGAAAACTAATAATTACCAAGATATTCTTCAGTGAAAGATGATGGAAAGTTTGTGCATGGAATCGACAATAAAATAATTGGACCGTATTCTATTGAGAGATCATTGACAGGACACAGGTATTCCATCTTCTTGTCTGAAACACTAGCATCTTTACTATCAGATTTACCGTTACAAACAATTTCAACAATGTGGTATCAGTACGACGGTCGTCCTGCACAGTATACACAACAATCACGTTAAGTATTGCAGAGATTATTCCGCAATCGATGAATTGGATGTGGAAGAGAAACTCCACGGCCAGCTTTGTCTCCGGATTTGATGCTACTTGATTATTTTCTTTGGGAATATTTAAAAAATGTGGTTTATTGCGAACCACCTACGACACCTGAAGATATTGTTACGAATCGCGATAATTGTCCCTCATTTCCAGTCAGACCATTTAAGGAATCTACTCGGGATAGGGGACTCGGGTAGTGCTCGAAAGATAGATTATTAACGTACAACAGTTTGCTGTGAAAACTATATATTTGTGAATGAACGTTGTGCAGAGCGCGAAATGTCTAGGCTTACCGATAGGAAAATTGTGTGTCGTGTCGTGTGGTGTTCGCTATTTTATAAACTACGTGTGTGTTGTGATTGGTGGTGTGAAAACTGTCGTAGGTGGTGGAAGTGTGTGGTGATTGGTTTTTTCGGTGTGTTTGGGGTGTGTCTGCTGGTGGTGTGAAAGTGGGGAATTTGTTCTTACATTTGTTATATTGCTTGTCTGAAAATTGGTGATGTCGAAGGTCTGTTTTATTGTCTTAGGGCATGTGGTGTCCAGGTGTGAGAGTCGTCGAATTTTTGGTGTAATAAAGTAATTTGCTCATGCCGGCTAAGACCTCGCTTTTTAGAAGGTGCTGTCTATTGAAAATAGCGATGTTATTGTTCGGCTCGTCGGTACGGCCGAACAACCCAAGCGGCGTCTGTTACGCATGTGACAATATGAAGGATCGTACCATTAGAACATGCAATGGTAAAACTTCCAAAGCACTTGAACGTGTGTCACTCGCTCTCGTTGTGACATTAAAGATTAATTAAGGAATATCTCGGTAATTATTAGTTTTTGATCCTGTCTGCGCAGCGGTTTATGACACGGACGTGCCATAACGGTTATTTTTGAGAATGAGACTTTGATAATTGGCAGCATGTAATTTTAGTAAAAATTACGTCCCGGCGAGAGAAAGTTGGGTTTACAACCCTCTGGCCTCTAAGGCGCTTTCCCTCGTCCTCAATAACCTAGCCCTGCCATAAAAAATGGGTCTTCCGAAGGGGTGAGTCACGAGTCAGCGTGTAACGGTCAAGGGACCGAGGTGACGAACTCGGAGGAATTCCCGCGCTGTTGCCAGACACTCGTCAATTTGACAAAGGACATCGCCACCCCCTCTCTAAGGAAACGCGCGTTAAGGGCGCAAGAGAAGGGTGTCGCGATGCATCTTCTACACGCCGACATGGTGTTTTCGAGAAGCAGAAAAACAGCCAATCGGAAGAAATTAAAAGGGTGTCGCGATGCATCTTCTACACGCCGATTGGTGTTTTCGAGAAGCAGGAAAACAGCCAATCGGAAGAAATTAGTATTAGCAGCGGCAAGTCGACGAGCGTCATCGATTTGCGAAGTCAGTTATCTCTGAGCAACGATAGAGCGAAGTCCTAACTCTGCAAGCCCAGCAAACAGGCTAGGCCCACAGAAACAGTACAGTCTCAGAAAGGTAGAAACTCTTCTGGGTGGTCCTTCGAGTTATTGTAGACGGCACATTAGAGTGCAATAATCCAAGGACGCGAGTGCAACGGCAGAGCGCTCAAAACCTCCACACTGGTCCTTCGAGCCGGATTCAGCGAAAATCCAGCAGTAACACAGAAGTCCAGCTGATCAGCCCACGAGTCATCGGGAACGAGATCCAGTAGCAGCGGTTGCTGAGACCAGTGATTGATTGGCAATCACCCAGCAACCCCGGATCATCCCTGATAGAAGCTCGTAGCAGCCTCCGCAGTGCAGACGCATCAAAGGTGCCTGAGCAGAGACGCAGAGCATCGCAGCACGCTTCGAGGACGCCACTGGACCACGAACAGTTGCAGACACCACGAGTCTACTTCACGGCGAGCTACGTCTGCTGGTGAAGGTCAGGTTAGGTCAACGCGGACAGATCAGGCAGCATCGTCACGCAGCATCCTCTCCAAGTAGTAAGTCCCTCCTTTATTCTAGTTGCGTCAAATAAGTCCAACATGGACGGCGAATTGAAAGCCCTCATTGCCGATCGCGGTTCGATTAAAGCAGCGCTAACTCGCTTTAGGGATTTTTTCAATCAGTCGGGTCACTCGGTGTCGGTAGGCGCGTTAAAAAAGAGATTAGAAGCAAACACAGGCCTATACGATGGGTTCGATACCGTGCAGACAAGAATAGAACGCATTATCGAAGGTACGGACGCGGTTAGTGCACAAGAAGCCGAACGGGAGCATTTTGAGGATGTATATTTCCAATTAATTAGTGAAGTCGAGTCATACATTGAAGGTGCGCAGCCCCCGCAGCGAGGCACGGTAGCAGGTAGCTCGGCAATGGTAACGGGATTATTGCCCGCATTCAGCAATACCCCGATTAGGGCAAATCTACCAGTTATTCAATTACCATCTTTCGACGGCAATTATAATGATTGGATTAGGTTTCGTGATACCTTCTTGTCATTGATACACAATAACGAACAATTAGAAGACGTTCAAAAATTCCACTACCTGCAATCCTTGCTAAAGGGACCTGCGGCTCGTATAGTACAATCCATCGGCATCTCCGAAAGCAATTACCGTACAGCATGGGACGCTGTCAAGGCCAGGTATGAAAATTCAGCCGCGCTTAAACGTCACCACGTGCACGCGTTATTAGATTTACCGGCGATATAAAAACAGTCGCCTATCGCGATCAGGGAAATGTTAGATGATGCAAACAATCACCTCCACGCGTTGAAAGCATTAGGATTGGGCATAGAGACTTGGGACCCCTTGATTGTTCCCATTTTGTCCAGAAAGCTGGACCCAGTCAGCGTTAGGGAATGGGAGCGGCGAAATGCTCCCTCCACCACGGAATCCCCAACACTTCGTCAATTTACGGCATTCTTGGAGGAACGGGCGCACTATTTAGAAAATATTACGTCACTTTCACCGGTAGGGGCAGTAAAGCCCGAGCTAGTAACAGTCCCAGGTAGTCGGAGATTACCGCGTGTAGCCGCTCACGTGGCTAGCGCGTGCGAGGCATGCCCGGTGTGTCAGGCTGCGCACGCGATAGCACAATGCAGCAAATTCAAAGACGCGTCGTTAGAAGGACGTGTAAAAATCGTACAGGATATTCGGGCATGTTACAACTGCCTCCAGACAGGTCATAGAGTGCAAAATTGCACCCGCAACCATTGTAGGCTCTGCGGGAAGAAACATCACTCTTTACTGCATCGAGAGAATAGCTATAAGACCAAGGAGGCAGTTGGAACGTGTGATGGCGAGTCACAAAATACGGTGGCTTGCATCGCCAAGGACGCCAGCAGCACTCCGAACCAAGTGGTATTGTCTACCGCAGTAGTATTTATAGAGGACCGCGAGGGAAGGAAAAGAGAATGCCGTGCTCTACTAGATTTGGGATCACAGGCCAACCTCATCACAACAGAGTGTTGCGATAGGCTGGGGCTGGACCGTTCACGGGCAAATGCGCGAATAGCGGGAATAGCCGCAATCAAGAGCAAAGTTGAAGGAAAAGTCGATATAGAAATCCATTCGCGAATAGAAGGCTTCGGTGCTCGCGTCGCATGTTTAATAATGAGTAATATCACGGAAGAGCTACCGAACATTCCTATACAAAGATCCGCGATATCAATACCTCCTAATATCAAATTGGCCGACACTCGGTTTCACAAGCGCGGAAGGATCGACCTTCTTATCGGAGCAGAACTCTTCTGGCGGTTACTATGCGTCGGGCAACATTCAGTAAATCGCCATCTGATATGGCAGAAAACGCAGCTAGGTTGGGTGCTAGGCGGAAGG